ATTCTCGGCCCTTTTGTCTGACTGATACCAACTTGGAACCGAAGAAGTTGACTTCTTGGATCTCTACGGGTCTGCTGATGAGGACGGCAATGGCTCGGAGGACTCTGATGGGGTCTACAGGGAAGAGGAGGAGGGGGATACGGAGGAGGAGGAGGAGGAGGAGGAGGAGGGCGGGGGGGGGAGGAGGAAGTACTGTCCCGGACGTTTATTAAGTCCGAGGACGTGGACATCGACATGATGGAAACGTGGGATTCTGACGAGAATCGGTTCCACGCCAGCACACAGGAGATTAGAGAGCGCCTGCTTGGGCGAGCTGTGACCCCCAAGGACTTCTTTTCAAGCCCGGAAGACCAGCAAGACAGCATTGCGCATATTGTTACTAAGAGGAAGCGGTTCCTGGCTGGCAACGCTCCTCTCATTGTTGATCTTGAGGCCTCCGCGAGGGAAGACGCTGCAGAGCAAGGAATTAACGTTGAAGAGATGGATGAGATTGATCGCGAGATGGACCGACTTGCGCTCCTCAACATGGCCAACATGCGATATACAAAGTGCGTGAAACGGGAGCCCCGGGAATAATTTTTTCCTTTTGCGATTTGGTCCTCCTTTTTCCTCTTTGTTCGTCCCCTGCCTTCCTCTTCGCCCGTTCCCCCTGCCTCACTCAAGAGCTGCCCCCCCCTATATCCTGTACTTTAACCCTTGTTACATCCCAGCTCGTTTAAAATTACCTTTTGTAGATAATAATAGGCGCATTGCGTGAAGCTGCTTTTGCCGCATAATGAGTTGTATCCGAAGCTCCTATGGTTTATACGCACAGAGTAATATGTCATTATATATGCCGTGGCCAACTACATAGGCCAAAATCCATACGCCCAAAACCATACGCCCATATTCATACACTCTAAGCCATACGCCCAAAGACATCATTACAACGACATACGCACAAAGGTATATGCCCAAAACTACATGCCCGAAACCGCACGACCCAATTCATACTAAATTCATAAGCACCAAGGTGCTATTCAAATCTAACATTTCCTTATTACTAGTGTAATTACAGAATCCAAACGAGCAAGATAAGCCTGCATATTTTTGTAGACAAGCTAGTCTAGGCGGTCCGCTGGATAGAATTCTATCTCAGAATCAAAATCAAAATCTACAATTGCACAATGAACAACACCCAGAATGACCCTACTACTCGTACTTCCACTCTGTATCATTTTCATTGAATGGACTGTGGCACGAATGTAGACTCCTGCCTTTAGAGCAACAAGAATCCCATCGTACTCCGCATCATCACATTCCAAGAATCCTGATACCATCTCCTTTCTCTGTAGCTCCACGTTCTCAGACTTGTCCTCATCGATTTTGGTTCCCAACCAATACGTCCTACCCAATACTGGAGTATGCATTCCGGCCTTTGGAAAATCCACCACACCTGCTGTATAGTAGCATGAACAAGGTGCAAAATGTGAGCATCAGTGGATAGTTGACTTACAAAAGAATCGTATTACCTTGTGACTCCAGGCAATTGAGTAGAGATAAGAATGTGAAAACAGGGTTTGCCCAAGGTCACTGTAGTTGTCTAGAGAGCTCTGGGGGAGGTCCTTCATCTCAATAAAGTTATGGTCGGTCTCAACACCAACCATTGCACAAAGCCGCGGAAGTAGAATGGTATCAGGTTCGGTGTACCCTAGTGGGTCAGTTCCGGTAACAATGTGGTTCTCAATACCCTCCATGATTTGAACGTGCAAGATTAGATACTGAGGGATGTAGAATTGTAGTGCTTTTGTGGTAGGGAAAGAAGTTTGGAATAAAGAAATACTATAGAATGGTTGGTGGTCACCATTGGGAAGATACTTGAGAGCAGCAGATGAACTCTTGAACGGGATAACGACGGAATAATCAGCAATCCAGTATGCTGGAAGCTCATGTTAAGGCCAGCCACTTATGGATTGGACTAATCTATATCAAGTTCGAGAGAGTACAAAGAATATCATTTATGTAAATTTACAAAAGCGAGAACGATATTATTCTGAACCTGATTCTGGAACCAAGCGCCAGGTCATTTTTCCCTGTACTATACGGCGGTTGGAATGACACTGCCGAAAGATTTCCAAGCTTGAGACTCGGCCCTCAATCTCATAACCCAAATCAAGTGCTTGTATGATGACCCGGGATTCCGGTGATCTAAGTTCCAACATTCCCGCTATCTGCCCACCTCTAACCAATTTGACTGTCTTGCCTCTGTTTGCCCAATCGAATCCACACAGCTTTAACTGGTATCGTCGCTCAATTCTTGGTGACCGGCTATTAGCCCAAGGTTTGTCTATATCTCACTATTAGCTTTTCAGCACTGGTAATATGGGTATGAGTCTCGGACGGAATGGAGTAATAGCGTATAGAAAAAGAAGTCAACAGTCTTCCTGTCAAGGGACACGTGGTAAAGGTCCACAGGTTCGTTCGGACCTAACATCGAGGTCTGAAACTCCTGAACTGGAACTAGCTCCATTGGCACAGTAGTCATTGTCTCTGCAGATACAGAGAAAAGGGTGGATAGCAGTAGGTACGGTATAGCAGTCTTGTGAGTTCATGGGGAATGGCAGCTAAGTAATAGGTAATCTCATTATTGGATAACCCGGTATTTATATACAAAAGCTACAACCATAAATCACACTTGATCACTCGGAAAACAAGACTGACACAGTACTATATTATATTTCAGCACTAACTCCTTGCCATTGGAATTACTTCTAATCGTTACGAGAGCCCCAAAGAATTCTGGCGGGCAGATCTG